TTTTCTAACTGCATCTCAATTATAAACTCAATTACAGAGTGTGAATCAAGTCCGTGCTCCAGAGACAAAAGAGGATAGCACGAAACGCAATTTAGCAGCAAAAAAAGTAGCCGACCGGAGACGCCGAGCCACTGTAATAGCTGCCACATTGTCGCACATCCTTTATGAATTATGTTAATAACCACTTTGGATGAACAATGTAATGTTTTATGAATATTGCAGAAAAGAAACGCACCCGGGGAAACTAACTTTGTTTCGCTTCAAAACCCGCACAAAACATGCCAAGAGGCATCATTGTACTATCGTGGCACACATACGCGTGCCTGGACTACTATGTCAAACGGCATTTTTGCCCAGAAAGTAATCTAGAATGCTATTAATGGAAAAGCGTTGTGCCTGCTTATGGACACGTACGAACACAACTACACATACAGATGGGCGACAGGACATTGTTGCAAATGCTAAATTGTTGCTTCTGTTCGTAGTGGCATTTTCTGGGGTTTAACTTTGGTGGGGGCGTTCTAAGAAATTGCCATAAATTTATGGCGGAAATATGTGCAAATGGATGCAAGTAGGATACGTATGCATGTGTGGTGAAGGAATTCTTGAAACTGAGATCTTTATCACATACTGGCTGAGCATGAAATTCAGAGGTAATAAAATCGGCATTTATGAGTAAGAAACAATGAGGGTGGGTAGTTCTTGGATTGTTGTGGGTCAACTTTTTAAAGAAAAAATATCTTAGAAAAAGGATGATGACGAATTTCGATGAATATACATGAATGGAGCAGACTTTCGGTAAAAAGCAGAATTTTTAATCTTCTAGAGAGAAGACCTTAGATCTTTTATGGATTCGACCTCTTTATGTTCTATAAAGAAGACCTTCGATCTTCTAGGGGGAAAGACCACTTGTTTTTCTATGAAGAAGACCATTTGGTCTTATGTAGAGAAGACTTTCTGGTTTTCTGTGCAGGTGACATCTATGAAGAAGACTTTTAAGTTTTTTGGAGAGAAGACTTTCAAGTCTTCTGTGGATAAGACCTTAAGTCGTCTGTGGAGAATTTTTTGTTCGTCTTCTGTCGAAAAGGCTTTTCAATTCTTCTATGGAGAAGGCTTTTCAGCTTTTATAGAGAAGAATTTCCAGTCTTCATGGATACGACTTTCAAGGGTTCCATGGCGAAGACTGTCCTTGTATGAAGAAGACTTTTCAAGCCTTCTGTGGAGAAGACTTTTGAAGACTTCTGCGGAGAAGACTTTTCAAGTTTTCTATGGAGGAGACTTTTCAAGTCTTCTATGGAGGAGACTTTTCAAGTCTTCTGCGGAGAAGACTTCTATAGAGAAGGCTTTCAAGTCTTCTATGGAGAAGACTTTCAAATCTTCAATGGAGAAGACTTTCAAGTATTCTATGGAGAAGACTTATCAAGTCTTCTATGGAAAGGACCTTTCAAGTCTTCTATGGAGAAGAACTTTTAAGTCTTCTATGGAGACGACTTTTCAAGTCATCGTGTTTTTAAAGAGAATACACATGGTCTGCTATGGAGAAGACTTTTTGGTCTGTAGGGAAACACATTAGTTTTCTATGGAGAAGATTTTGGTCTCTTATGGAGGAGACTTTTGACCTTATATAGAGAAGACCTTTAGGTCTTCAAAGGAGAAGGTCTTTTTGGAGAAGACCTTTAGGTCATCAAACCGAAAAGACTTTTTGGTCTTCAACGGAGAACACATTTAGTTCCTCTATGAAGAAGATTTTTAGATCATCTTTGGAGAAGACGTTTAAGCCATAATCCTAACGTTTTAACCCTTAGGTCTTCTATTGAGAAGACCTTGAAGTCTTTTATTTAAAAGGCTTTTAGGTTTTCTATTGAGAAGAACTTTAGGACTTCTATGTATATTAGTGCTCCAATGTCTTCTATGGAGAAGACGTTTAAGCCCTCTATAGAGAAGACATAGGAGTCCTAAAATACATAGAAGTCTTAAAGATCTTCTAAATTTAAGACTTCTATGGAGAAGACCTCTAGGTCTTCTATGGAGAAGACCTCTAGGTCTTCTATGGAGAAGACCTCTAGGTCTTCTATGGAGAAGACCTCTAGGTCTTCTATGGAGAAGACCTAGAGGAGAAGACCTCTAGGAGAAGACCTCTAGGTCTTCTATGGAGAAGACCTCTAGGTCTTCTATGGAGAAGACCTCTAGGTCTTCTATGGAGAAGACCTCTAGGTCTTCTATGGAGAAGACCTCTAGGTCTTCTATGGAGAAGACCTCTAGGTCTTCTATGGAGAAGACCTCTAGGTCTTCTATGGAGAAGACCTCTAGGTCTTCTATGGAGAAGACCTCTAGGTCTTCTATGGAGAAGACCTCTAGGTCTTCTATGGAGAAGACCTCTAGGTCTTCTATGGAGAAGACCTCTAGGTCTTCTATGGAGAAGACCTCTAGGTCTTCTATAGAGAAGACCCCTAGGTCTTCTATGGAGGAGAATGTTTGATCTTCTATGGAAAGACCTTTTGGTCTTCTTTGGAAACGGCCCTTTGGTTTTCTGTAGATACAACCTTTGGACTTCTCTGAAGAAAACCTTTCTCCCTTCATTGAGAAAAACATTTGGCTGTTTGGTCTTTTATTGAGAGATTTTTAGAATAATGTTCGATTAGACTTTTCGCTCATTTTTTGATGTATTTCTATCTTCTATCGAGAGAGCCTTTAGGTCTTCTATATAAAGATCTTTTATCTTCTATTGGGAGTATATTTCGGTTTTTATCAGAAAGAGCTTTGTTTTTTCTATAGAGATAAACTTTTTTCGTTTTGCTTTCTAGTCAGAGACCGTTTTTCCGTCTATTTAGTCAACTTTGTGTTCGTCTTCCTGCTTTTTTCTTCCTTTTGCTGTCTTTCTGGATGGATATCGTTTGTTCATTTATAAATAATAATTTGGATCCGTTATGAAGAAAATTTGTTGCCCTTCTTTGAATAAAGTATATTGGAATTCACTAAAAGAACAAGTTTCTGGTCTTAAATGTATGGGTCCTTTGGTATTTCAAAGAGAATATCTCTTAGTCATATCTATGGAAGTCTTACTGATTTCCATAGAATATCTTTTTGTCTTTTGAAAAGAATGAAATGACCTTTGGTGTTTTAGAGTAGATCTTTAATATTTTCGTAATGAATACCTGGTCTTTATGGAGAAGGCAAAAAGATTGCTATGGAGAAGGTTTTTAGCTCCTTTATGGTAAAAAAAAACTTTCCATTAGGAAGACTTCTGAGGCATAATTCTAATGGTCTTCTTTAAAAGAGAATACTGGTCTTTTACGGAGGGAATCTTTTATTTTCGCTGGAAATAACTCTTGGCCTTTTGGGGGTTGGAAGAGGGTTTTCTTTGCAGTTTGCAAACTATGCCTTGCGAAATTTTCTTTTTTCATTTTCTATAAAAATGGGTTTTGCGTGTCTAAGAGGAAATGCTTCCAAGTTTATGTTATGTAATCCTTCGGACCTCACATGAGGTAGACTTGCATTTTTTTTTATTTGAAAAATACATTTATGTTTTTGAAAAATTTTGTAATATTGGCGGGGCCGACTTTATGATACCCTACACCACTTTGCTAATTTAGTAGAGCTCCACATAGCAATTAAAAGTTTTTATGGGAGAATTCAATCATACACGCCATGATTATAATTATAATTTAAAGTTCAAAGGACTAAATATGGCATTTGTATCTTTTAAATTCGGATTTGTATTGCCCATTTGGTGCAAAATTAATTTGAAATCATATAAAGATATATATGGGAGCTATATCCAAATCTGAACCGATCTCAATATAATTTAGCAAAGGTATATCTGAGCTGAATTTGATATATTTCCCCAAATATTGTTGTTACAGAGTGCATATTACGGCTTCAGAGAACAAAAATAACAAATCGGATGAACAGTATATATGGGAGCTGTAGCTATATCTGAACCGATTTCGATCAAATTCGGCATACTTAATTTGATTGTATGTGCAAAATTCCAATTCGGGCTGATATTACACGTTTGGTGCACAATAAAAGGCAAATCAAACGAAGATATATATGAGAGCTATATCAAATTTTTTACCGATTATCTCCAATTTCAATAGGGTTCGTCCATGGGCCAAACAAATGATTTGTGCAAAATTTCATCTTAGTCGGATAATAAATGCAACCTGCATTTTGTTCACAAGAATACATGGACAGACAGACGGACGGACAGACGGACTGACATGCATAAATCAACTCAGAAAGTGATTCTATGGAGATCCTCAAAAATAACTATGGGTCTATCTCGCTTCCTTCTCCATGTTACAAACAAATGCACAAAGACATAATACCCTGACCACCTTGTGATGTAGGGTATAAAAACGAACTGTTCTTCTTTTATATGCCTCCGTTCCGAATATTATCCTAATTTAGTTTAAATATTTCCTTTCAGAATGCAATTATTTGCTTAATATAAATTCACTAAATTTGCCTGAACTCCCAATTTTCTAATTAGTGTAATTTCACAATTAGCATTAAATAAATAATTTAAATAATTTATTTACAATCCCAAACACACAATCGTCATTCAATATTAATTACATACAGTTCTCCACAAAGTAAATACTAAATTACCCTGATTATCACCACGTCCACCAGCAGCGGCAGACAACCATACATTCGAGGCACACAATTTAAATTAAGCCCCGGTCATATTGAATAAATATTGACTTTTCATAAATAACAAGGACGCCGACCAAAAAAAATCTTTTGATTTGATTTTATTTATTTTATTTAAAACAAAACAAAAAATAATAAAACTCACAAAACAATTCCAAAAAAATGGAGTATGTGTTTTCAAATTCCACGATGAGAAAAATAAGAACGGCAGGCACGTGTCTCCAAACATGGCAGTGAAAATTCCCAAAAAAATACAAAAATAAAAAAGGATAGAGTAGAAGAGAAAAACAATAAATAACAATAAAAAAATAAATAAATTTAAATGAATGAAAAATTCTTAGAACAACGAATGTGGTTTATTTATTGCATTTGATGTTGTTGCTGCTGCTGTTGCTAACGTTGTTATTGTTGTTAGGTCCCAAATGCTCCAACAGATTACGTTTAGCCAACAACTGGATACGCTGCTCAATGAGACCCAAGGGTTTCTTAGGAACCAAATGACAAGTCGATTGCCTGTAATGAGAAAAATATGGGGGGAAAATGAAGGAAAATTAGAAATTTATAAGAAATGGAGATTTCACCAATCAATGGATATGTCGTTATGTAATGAGTGCAGGTATGATTGGATTGTATTGGTTGGTTTGTAATTAAGTGTGTCTGCGATGAGATATGCCAATGGGGAGTAGGGATAAAACATTGATGTCAATATCGACAAATTTCTATGTGGCATGGCAATATATGACATTGGAAACATATGGCGGAAAGGAATGAAATGGGTCTCCTATGAAGAAACGAACATTCTGGTGTACAATGGAATATATGAAATTATGACGTTAAAGAGAGAAAACCTTTTGGATTTTTGTGGTGAAAACTTTTCGGTACTTTTGGTACGAATCTAAGAAGAAGAATTTTGATAATCTCTGAAGAAGACCTATGGAGGAAAAGTTGTTGGCATTCTATTTGGAAGAATTTTTGGTCTTCTATGAAGAAGACCGCATGCTTTTCAATAGAAAAAAAGTCGTTTGTCATCACTGAAAATTTTAAGTCTTTTGTGGAGAGCACCTTTGATGATATGCAGAAAACACCTTTTGGATTTCTGTGAACAAAATCTTTGGCCTTCTCTGAAGAAGATCTTCTGGGGAAAGAACTTTATATCTAGAAGACCATTATCTCTTCTATGCAGAGGTCTTCTATGGAGAAGACCTGTAGGTATTCTATAGAGAATACCTGTTCTTTAAGTCTTCTATGGAGAAGATTATTATCTCTTCTATGCAGAGGACCTCCAGGTCTTCTGTTGAGAGGACCACCAGGTCTTCTGTGGAGAAGACCTCCAGGTCTTCTGTGAAGAAGACTTCCAGGTCTTCTGTGAAGAAGACTTCCAGGTCTTCTGTGGAGAAGACCTCTTGGTCTTCCATGGAGAAAATCTCTAGGTATTCTTTGAAGGAACGTTCTTGGTCTTCTATGGAGAAGACCTCTATTTCTTCTACGGAGAAAAATTTTTGGTGTTCTATGGAGAAGGCCTCTATGCCTTCTATGGAGTCGAAATCTAGGCCTTCTATTGGGAAGACACCTAGATCTTTTATGGAGAACACCTTCTATGGACAATACCTATGGGCTTTCCTCTGGGTCTGCTATGGTTAATACCTCAAGGTTTTCTATAGAGAAGACTTCAAGGTCTTCAATGAAGAAGACCTCAAGGTCTTGTATGGAGAAGACCTCAACGCCTTCTATGGAGAAGTCCTCTAGGTCTTCTATGGAGAAGTCCTGTAGGTCTCCTATAAAGACGACACCTAGGTCTTCTCTATGGAAGGAGAAGACGTTCTGGTCTTCTATGGAGAAGTCCCCAAGGTCTGCTATGGCGAAGACCTATATTATTTCTATGGAGAATACCTCTACCTTTTCTATGAAGAAGACCTCCAGGTCTTCTATGAGGAAGAACTCCAGATCTTCTATGAAGAAGACCTCCAGGTCTTCTATGAGGAAGAACTCCAGATCTTCTATGAAGAAGAACTCCAGATCTTCTATGAAGAAGACCTCCAGGTCTTCTATGAGGAAGAACTCCAGATCTTCTATGAAGAAGACCTCCAGGTCTTCTATGAGGAAGAACTCCAGATCTTCTATGAGGAAGAACTCCAGATCTTCTATGAAGAAGACCTCCAGGTCTTCTATGAAGAAGACCTCCAGGTCTTTTATGAAGAAGACCTCCAGGTCTTCTATGAAGAAGACATCCAGGTCTTCTATGAAGAAGACACCCAGAAGAAGAAATATAAAGCTTCGGCTGCTGGGACGAAAATCTTCTGGACTTTTTGAAAGAAGTGTTCCTTTTCTCTTAAGTGAACTAGGACTAGGTTCACAATTTCTAAGAAAGAGATTTGGCTTCTACAAAACTAATATGACCAAAATAACCTTTACTAATTCGCGGAAAACTTTTACATAAAGCAAAGTATGAAAGAATGAAAATAGAAAACGAAATAACAAAGTATTTAATATATGCCTCCCCTATTGGCCTAATTATTTCAACCTATCATCTCTGCCAATATTGTTGTAATTAAACGGTTTTAATACTTACTTGTAAATAATTTTTTCACGATCTGCCCAAGGCCAAAACTTATCCAGCTGTTAAAAGATTCGAAGAAAAAAATTAAACAACAAAAAAAATTAATCCTACATTCAAGTAGGCCCATAGAAGCATCACCACTCACCTTTGGTTGTTTTGATGTGGACTCCTCAACCTGTTCGTGGGCATTATTTACGGAGGCTTCATGCTGTTTTAGTGTGGCAATCAGATTTCTTTCCTTCTCCCTCGAGGGACCATCTTCATCACTGCTGACACACGAGTCGATGCTGGGATTATCTGAATGTGTGCTAGAGTCTTTGGAGCTGTTATGCAATTTTGATTTATTCGATAAATTCCATGTAAATGTTGCTGTAAGAAAATCATCTTCGTCGTCGTCGTCCTCGTCATCGATTTCATCATCTGTTCCATTGGCATTGGGGTCATGACCTCCAGGTGTTAAGAAACACTTCATGTTAAACTCTTCACAGGTATTATCACTACTTATGGTCTTATCGCCATCGCCATCATCATCTTCGTCGTCGTCGACATCTTCCTCATCACTTCCCTTGCGAGCCCTCCGCTCGTCCTTCAACGAGTAATTATTTTCCGAGGCATAATCAGATTCTGGTGTTATTTCCTTTGATTTCCTTCGACGTCTAGCAGCAATATGTTTCTTTAATCGTTGATAGGCCTCCTTGGCATTGAACTCATCATTATCATCATGCCCTGCAGCATGTAACTTCTTCTTGGTCTTCTTCTTCTTTTCCACCTGCTCTTCATCCTCTTCATCTATCTCACTATTTCCCCCATCACTCAGCTCATAATCGAAGGCATCTTCATCATATGATAGCTTACGCCTCTGCAAATGTTGTTGGTAGATGTCACCGGCTGTGTAGTTGGGATTCGGCGGCATTCCTGTGAGATTCAACTTTTCAAATGTCTGCGACACCGTGGCCAAGGTCGAGGAGAGAATTTTCGGTATTTCAGCAATTTCCGACAGTTTCCTTTGCATCGCCCGTAGACGTGCCTCTATGGAGGCACCTATAAGACAATGTTTCGATGTTTTTTGTTAATAAAGTGATATTTTATTGGGGAGTTGAATGAGTAGGCAGGAGGAAGGATATCAAATATTGGGAAAAAATATACCACCCTACGCTGGATATATTATGTTTGTCATTCTATGTATAATTCCTCGAAATTAGCATATTATATTCTTGATCGTTTAAATGTTATGTCAATCCGCCAGACTGTTTCTTTCTATCCATATCTTTGTCCGCTTCCAAACGGAATGATGCAATTTTCTCTAATATATTTAAAGTCTGCAGAACTTTTAGCATTAAAACTGGATTATGTAGATTCACTCTTTGTTACCGTGTCCTCAATGGGCAAAAAACCTTCCTAGAAAAGGACTGTCCCTATAGGTCTAAGTTTTTGTATAGACCGCATAGAACCTTTCCTACCAATATAAGTTATTTTGATGGTATAAGCCACATGTTTCAACGAAATTATTTCATATTTGGTATTTCAATTTTGTATTAAATACCACGTCGTGTGATAGGAAATTGTCGGTGCACATGTCCGTACAGTCCGCATATAACCGTTCCATCCACTTTGGAATTGTTCCGAAAAAAGTATTTGGAGTTCGAAATTAAAACCAGTAAATGGCCCAAGCCGATATTGCAAGTGTATATATAGAATAATAAATAACTAGAATTGATCCCACCATAAAAAAGGAAATTCTTGAAATATTCTTAAAATACAGGACTCTGAAGAGGTCGTTGAATTCCCTTCGAAAATACCTTCTGCCAATCAATATTTTAAAAACTTGCAAATATTTTTAAAAATACGAGACTTCAGGTCCACGGCTTTTAGTCTCTAGAAGTATTTCTTAGTCTATTTTAGTCTATTTAGTCTATTAAAAAATTAAAAAAAAATTATAATATTTTAATATAAATTTAATATAAATATTTTAAATAGATCTACGTCTCTTTGCCAAGAAATTCTTTAATTTTTTTTTAAACGCCTACATTTTTTTATGTTTTAAAATGTTTATTTCTTCCATTCACGACATCAAAAATATTTTAATAGTTTTACGAATTTTAATCTTAAAAAATAAAAAATACACTGCTCATAGCCTTAAAAATATTTTTTTAACTGCCACGCTCGACCTTAAAAGATATTTTTGACAAAAATTCGCAACGCAATGCATCAGATTTTATTCAATCTACGATTTTTATCTCTAAAATATCGATGATCTTCAAAAATATACGCGACTTTTATTAAAAAAAAGAAAAAAAACACGACTCGGCCTTTAAAAAATTTTTATATAATTTTTTATGAAATCTTCGTTCCTTCAAAAAAAAATCTCACAGCGTTTTCAATTTTCAAATATCTATTAAAAATCTACGACTTTAAGTCCCTACAAATATTTATTAAAAATCCACAACTTTTATTCCTAACCAGTTTTTTTTTTAAATACACGACTTTTACATTTTTTTTTTTAATCCACAACTTTTAGTCCTAGCAAATATTTTCTTTTAATTCCACGACCATTTCAAAAAAAATCTACAACGATAAACTTAAAAAATATTTAAAAAAAATCATGGGGTTTTGTCTATATATATTTTTTTAATCCACGACATGTGGCTTTTAGAATATTTTTTAGAAATCCCCAATTCTTAACCAGAAAGTCCTTGCAAAAAACTCTAAGATTATTGAGAAGAAAGTCCATTAAAAATTATATTAAAAATGCCTTTATTGATAGGTACCATTCTGTTGGGGCTATACGAAAAACTGGACCTATACATACCTTGTTTCGCCACCGGAGCTAGAACCCATAATGACCTACAAATAGCAAATTTTTAGACAAATCCGTTGAAAAATGTGTAAAAAATCATAAAAATACTAAATTTTCGGAGCTACCATTTCGGATTTTGGACAAATCCGTGGAAAAATGTGGCAAAAATATCGAAATACCGAATACTGGGAGGTATACAGGTATACAGAGAGAAAGACGCACGTCTTTCAATCGACTTAGAATTGGATTCAGATCAGAAATATAAGTATTTACTTTATTTGGGGATTTACATTGGGATCTAAAATGTATATTTCGAGGTGTTACAAACGGAATGACAAAGTTAAGATACCCTCCTTTTCAAGGTGGAGGATATAAAATTAAGTTTTACAAATTCACAATTGTTGACCAATAAAACCTTAAGACAGAAAGTTATTTAAAATATATTTTTATAACCTCCACCATAGTATGGAGGGTATATTAAGTTTGTCATTGCGTTTGTAACACCTCGAAATATACATTTTAGACCCCATACATAAAATTCTATGTCGATTTTGCAATGTCCGTCCGTCTGTGGAAATCACTCTAGCTTCTGAACGAAATGAAGTAGGTTGATACAATTTTACTCAAATGTGTATTATGTCTGCAGGACTTTTGGTATTGAAAATGGGTCGTGTAGGTCCACGTTTTGGTATAGCCCCAATACAATGGTACCACTCTTTTTTCGATATTTTGGTGATTTAAGCGACATTATTCTCCGGAAATGTTTCAAATTTGGCATTTGAAGTTCGTAATTGCTACTACAGCTTCGTATAGCCCCCATATAACGACGCCTCCCGATGTTCGGTATTTTAATGATTTTAGCTACATTATTCACCATTTGAATATTTTAATAGCCTATGACAAAAGTTGGCTATGCAGGTCCACGTCGTCGTATAGACCCTAATACGGCAACATTCGGCATTTTTATGATTATAACAGAATTGTTAACTTTTTTTCTTTTGAAAATTGCCAAATTCGGCTCTTCCGAACATACATCTTTTTTACTTGTTTAAAGTCAAAATGGCTATTGGACAGTGAAATAATTAGAAGATGTGCGACTATTTCGGAAAAGGCTGCCGAAAATGAAAAAAGGTCTTTTATAAACAGAAATTGATGATATATTTTTATGATATACATTAATTATACACACTTTGTGGTTGTTCAGAGACCCAATTTAACACTTTATCTTGAATACTTTTTCCCTTGAAATGTTCTCCAAAATTTATGTATTAAGGGAGATTTCGACTTAGAATGAAATAATGTTAAATTAACAAAACGTAAACGTAATTTTCACTTGTAATATACAAAATTCGAATGTAATTTTCTTAAAAACTATTAAACTAAGATATGTGATTTATTCTGAGATCTATAATAAAATTTTGTGTAGAATATTTCTTCTTTTGACGCATTCTGCGTAAAAGTACTTTTTCTGTTACTTAAATGTATCATTTCGAAAAAAAGCCGAAGACTTTTTATTATTTTCTTTTTTTTTTTGTGCAACATTGATTCAAATACTTTCGTGGTATAAAATGGATTTAGATTTTTTTTGGTGACTTACAGTGAAATTTGATGTAGAATAATTTTGTTATTGACGTATTTCTTTTAAAATGATGCTTTGTACGAGTATTTCGCAGAAAATCAGATTAACTACTGATTTAACCCTAAAATGTGTGTTTAATAAATATGAATTCCAGGCATTTAGATAATATTTAAACTTTTCATGTCTTCCGGAACCAATAGTAGAATGTTATGGCCTGTAATAGTGTAGAATATTTTGATAGGGTACTACCACGATTAAATGGCAATATTTAAAAAAAGCCCAAAAAGACCACTTTATTGACTCGCTTGAGGATTCAAATTTCTAACCTAAATAATCCTCATATTGTTACCTGTAATGTTGCTATGTACCTAAAATGAACGGATTCCAAGGAGATTTCCAGGAATGGTAACTTTGGTTAGAGTGATTTCTTTCCCGCTCTTTTGGTAACTTTACGATGTGAACTTTCAAAACGCTCATACAGTATTCTTCCTCTTCATTCACTTTATTCACTTCAATTTTTAGTCCTATTTTCATAATGTGCTGGATTCTTCATAATTTTTTGAACAAGTATTACCATGTGCGAAGTTTAGATTAAGACCTTATTTTTCATTTAATTTTCAAATTTTACAAAATTTGGGGGTAGTATCACAAAAAATGGGCCTATACCTCCTATTTCAATGAAGGGTTCAAAATTAATTTTTTTGAATTATAAAAATCTGTTTTCCCATTAAGATTATAATTGAATGGATTAGAATTTGTAATTTGAAGTATAAAATTTTCCAGTGGTGAGGATTATGACAAATTCGATTCGGCTGATCTTTACCCTCTATACAATCCTCTCCTGCAATTTATATTTGATATCCTTTTTCCAAATGACAATGAACATATATACAATGAAATATAAAAAAACAACAACAAAGCCAACTATTTAACTAAGGGGGTTATTATTATATTACTACGATCATAATAGAGGGTATATATAATTATAAAAATAAATTAATTTTTAAAAATAATAATATTAATTTAAAAAAAGTTTAAACTGAATCTTTTTGGCGCCAGCAATTATGTGTCTTTCGAAGCTGTAGGCAAAGCCAGGAGCATGTCTTCGGTAATGCGATTTTTCAACTCAATATCGTCACCCACTTCGGCAAAGAAACGTCGGATATTGCGTATAATACGATGATGTGGCAACTCCTGGGCGTGTGTATGTGTGTTCGAAGCAATTTGAATTTGGTATTTAGACAAACAAAAAAAAATAGAAATTGAATTGGGGTTATTTTTCGCAACAAACAAAACAAAAGAAAGAAATGAAAAACACTTGTTGTTGGCCTCCTACCTCCTCTTCCTCTTCTTCTGAAGACTCATCTTCGCTCAATTCAATGACCACCTCATTGCCCTCTTCATCGATTTCGGTTTTGGTTTTCTTTTTCTTTGGCTTGGGAGGTGGTGGAGGTGGATTCCACATAATGGGATGCCAACAACGGGAGCCTAGCAGTGGAGTAGGGACAAATTCTACAAAAATATAAACCGCATTGTTATTGAAAAAAAAAAAAAAAAATAGAAAACAAAATTAAAATTGGTGAGTGGTGGTGAATTTTGAGAAACGAGATTCAAGGGGAAAATATCAACTGGGAAAAAGGAAGGGGAATAGTGTTGCTAGAGTCATGCAGTGGAAAATCGACATGCGGGGGGGAGCTAAGAAAACAGATGAGAAAAAACTATGGATTATGAATTGTGTTTTACCAACCTGGTGGTGGGGGAACTGGTTTGGGTACTCTCAGGACAATGGATTTCTCCTCGCCTATTTCGAACTCTTCCATTGGATCTTCTTCCATGCTGAAATAAAAAATCAAAAATATAGACATTTCAGTTAAATTATTATAGTTAAACATTAAAGGGTGTCAGATAAGGCATTACAAAAAATGTAGAAAAGTAAAAGGGAATGGAATATATGAGGTGAACAAATGGATCATTTCGGAGATAAAATAATTTTTATTTAAAAAGTAACAGTAGGTCCAGGAGGTGGTTTTTTAAATCCCCTTTGGACCTTTATATAACAAACTACGCTCCAAACTTTGAAAACTTACCTTTTCACCAGAAAATGTATCTTCTTGCCACTGGCGTCGATTTTATCGTGAGCTTGAGCCAATGACAGTCCTGTTACGTCCTCTTCGTTAATTTGCAGAATTATATCACCCAGACGTATGCCACCCTTATCGGCCAGACCATCCGGTGTAACCTTTGATTTGGAAAATAAAACACAAAAATTGAAAGGGGAAAAAACCTTTGTTTTAAAATGCAAATTTTCAATATCTGTTTTTTTTTTTTTTTTTTTTTGTCAGACAATTGTTTTCTTAGTTCGAATGTTATGTGTTTGCTCTATGAATACTAAATTATTACTACTGCCGCATGCCGTTCGTTTGGGCCATTCACATTTCGAGAAAAAAATAAAATTGAGAATAACAAACGCCACAAAATACAATATTCAAAATAGAAAAATATTTCAATTTATATTAATGTTTTTTTTTTTTTAATATCTGCTTCTGCCAGAGATGTACATAGACGAAACAACCATTAAATGTTTGAAATGGATTCTGTTCTAACCTACTTTTATGTGTAGTCGGATTTGTTCAAAATACAAAACATTTACTAAAGGCTGCAACTTAAATGTGAGAGACAAGTGCGGACATTTGATGTGACAGTGTCGAGCGAATGTATTAATACGGCAATTAAAACAAGTGAAAAAAGCAGTAAGTTCCGAACCTTGAATACCCTCTACAAATTGAAACGAATTAGGAATTTTCCAAAAAAATTATTAATATTATTAGAATATTAATATTAAAAATTCTGTTTAAATCGTTAAAATACCTAATATTGGAAGGTGCCGATATATGAGGGGATATACGATATCATGGACCTATATAGACAAATCTTTATTAAGTACTCACAAAGAACTCCTAGTGTAGAATTTCCAACAATTCCATTGGAAAATGTGGTTAAAATCGTCAAAATACCGAATATCGGGGGGTACCGTTATTGGGGGATATACGATATTGTGGACCTATATAGACAATTCTCTTTCAGAGGTAAAGTACTCACAAAAAATTCCTCATGTAGAATTCCGTTGAAAATTGTGGTAAAATCATCAAAATACCGAATATCGTGGGGTACCGTTGTATGGGGGCTATATGATATCGTGGACCCATATAGATAATTATCTTCCAAGGGATAAAGTATTCGCAGGGAACTTCTTGTGTGAATTTTCAGATAATTTCATTGGAAAATGTGGCTAAAATCATCAAAATCCCCAATAGAAGGGGGGTCCCGTTATAAAGGTGATATACGATATCGAGGACCTATATAGAGAATTCTCTTCCAGGGGTGAAGTACTCAGAAGCAACTTCTTGCATGGAATTTCAGATAATTCCATGAAAAAATCTGGCTACAATCATCAAAATACCGAATATCGGTGGGTACCGTTATATGATGGATATACGATATTGTGGACCAATATAGACAATTCCCTTTGGAGGGTAAAGTGCTCACAAAGAAGTCCTTGTGTAGAATTCCGTTGAAAAATGTGGCTAAAATCATCACAGGTTTGACGCTATATGAGGGCTATATGATGTCGTAGACCTATATAGGTAATTCTCTTCCAAGCGATAAAGTACTCACAAATAACTCCTTGTGTAGATTTTCAGATATTTTCATTGGAAAATGTGGCTTAAATCGTCAAAATCCCCAATATCACGGGGTACCGTCATATTGGGGATATACGATATTGTGGACCCTTCTCTTTCAGGGGGTAAATTGCTCACAAAGAACGCCTTATGTGGATTTTCATACAATTCCATTGGAAAATGTGGCTAAAATCATCAAAATACCGAATATCGAAGGTGCCGTTATATGGTGGACCTATGTAGATACCGTTATATGGGGGCTATCCGATATCGTAAACCGATATAGGCCATCATCGAACTTGATCTGCCTGCAGACAAATAAAAGATCTGTGCAAAGTTTTAGCTTCCTATCTTAATTCGTTTTGACTGTAGCGCGATTAGACGGATGGACTGACAGGGCTAAATCTCTAAGACGATTTATAATTGTATAATTGTACGAAAAGTACTAAATAGTACTAAATTTGGTATTGGGTGAAGGGGTAGAGCTTAAATCCTGAAATTTGATATACACATCATTGTTAGCGTCTATAGTTAAGAGATGGAGGTTATTTTGAAAATGTGTTCTATATTTGTTCGAAAAGTACAAATTGCTATCAAATTTGGCATTGTGTGAAAAGATGGAGCTGGAATACCGGATAATAAGGTCACTGTTGGCATCCAAGTTTGAGATTTGGAGGTGGGTTTAAAAATATGTACTATAGTTCTACAAAAAGAACTAAGTAGTACTAAATTTGGTATTGGGTCAAGGAAGAGAGCTGAAATCCTAAAATTTTATATTGGGCCAACTATTGGTTTCTAGGGTTTACGTATGGAAACGTTGAACTAGTTTTGAGCAGAAAAATTAGATATGGATCCATTGTACAATTACTTTACTAATAGTCAGTCCCCTCTGTAAACTACAAAATGAAAGAGGTACGAATTGTCCCTTATTATTCTCTTCGAAAAAGGAAAAACTTAAATTTACTTAAAATTTTCTAATTTTAGGGGTGCAATATTAAAAGATTGTAAAACATAAGGTACTATTTCGTACGATCTAAAATTTGTAAAATTTTCGAGGAGGTTAGGCTGGATTTTCTGAGACTTGGAACTTTCGGGTTGCGAAAAGTTCTGAAACGTACATAATGGTACAATATTGTTCTAGGACGGTCGATTCGAACTAAAGTTATGAAATTTTGAGTGTGTGTCACTCTAGGTTGAGATAAGGAAGTCTCGAGAAAAAACATTTCAAAGTCTTATGAAAAAGAAGTATTTCTCAGGGTCTTGTCATCTACGTACTTTTTGAGATCTTCTAAAAACATAAATCTCTTCTAGATAAAGAGGTCTTTTATAGAAAGAACATTTTAAATGACCTTTAAAGACCGAATACCTTTCAAGGGTCTCCTATGGAAAAGGACTTGCGAAAGGTCTTCTATGGTATTTTAAAAGCCTCTAAAGACCGAATAACTTTGAAGGACTTCTATAGAAAAAGGTCTTGCAAAAGGTCTTCTATGGTATTTTAAAGGCCTCTAAAGAACGAATAACTTTCAAGGACTTCTATAGAAAAAGGTCTTCTATGGGGAAAAGAAAAAAATGGCGTTCTAAAGTTTTCCTCAAGACCATGTGATACCCTACAACACTACAAAATGTTAGAAGCCCCTTTATGTCAAAATCCATTATGGAAGATTAAGCTTTTGATCACGGAGCACTGCTACGAAGCACTGCCCAGATATATAATTGCGACCTTAAGAGTAATTACAAATTAACATGGACAGACGGACGGACGGACATACATATCTAGATCCACTCAGCTCGGTGAAATGGAAACATCAATATATATGTGGGAAACTAATATTTCGAGTTGTTACATAATTCTTGGCCCAGTCAAACTTATAATACCCCCAACACATAGTGTTGTAGGGTATACTTTTTTTTATTGATAATAGTTAGTCTATTCGACTCTGTATATTTATGGTGTCAGTATTCTAGTACATTAAATATAAATTTAAACATTTTTTTTTTTTTGTTTTGTGGCAGTAGAAATTATATTTTCTAGTTTACATATTCAAAATAGCCGACGTCAAAAAACAGATTCCCTTTCAGTATGTGGTTTTTCCTCTCTTTGTTTTTTTTTTTTTTTTCTAACAAACAAAAGAAAAAATAATAATTTTTAGAGCAATTGTTATTATTTAGTCTGAATGTTTATATATCTATGGGGCAAGAATATGACGGAAGAGAGTCTATTGTTTATAATTTGTTGCGCAAATGGATATAGTGCCAAAAATTGTTGCTGCCAATAAATACAAACATAATACGAGATTTTGAACTGACACCCCTCCGTCAAGTGGCACACGCCGTAGAGCAATTAACGCGCATAGGGTGCGTAGAATAGGAACCGTCAAGGAACTATGAGCACAAGATTAAATGTTTAAATAAATCTCAGTGAAATTAGTAATTTGGGAAATAAAATATTATGACATTATAACATATTTGGAGAAGGTGGTTCGGTGTGCATTTTTAGACCAAGCTTCATGGGTCACAAAAACATTTAGTTTCATGAAATTACTCGCATATAGGCCCGGATATTGAAAAATTATTAAAATCTCATTAAACGAAATATTAGATGTCGTAGAGCTCTTAAAAAAATCCCGACTTAAAACTATACTGCTGGCAGCAATATCTATTTTTATACCCTCAGCCATATCGATAGAAGGAGTATATGTGCCAAACGTGTCTCATCAAAATTACGGTTTCAGACACTAGATCTCAATCTAGCGATGTCCGTCTGTTTGGCTGGTTCGCACGATAACTCTCGAAGGGAGTATCCGACATGATCCAAACTTGGTACATAATAATATTAATTTCAAAATTAGTTCGAGTTCGGAGATGGGCAATATCAGTCCGCTCCTTCTGGTACCTCCCCACCAAAATGTCAACATTTTCAAAGAAAATAATTTACTGCACAGAAAGAGAAAGGATAATCCGATTTTGCTCCAACTTTGCAAATCCTTATATTTGCATCAGTGCTAGGTCAGGTGCGGTAATGGATAATATCTGTCCACTCAATCCAGTACCTCCCCAACAAAGCGTCAAAGTTTCGAATAAATAAAACCCTTATAAAATGTGATGTTAGTGTCGAATTGTCTTCAAATTACATGCATCACAATATTGTTATTAACCCAAGGTCGGGTGTGAAGATGGAATATATCGGTCTATTCCCTCTGGTACCTCCCCACAACAGGGTCAATGCTTTGAATTACCAAAGCGATTTTAAATTACAAATAAACAGGCAGTTCTCTTCATAATTCACACATCCCTTTGTATCTAATAACACAAGATCTGCTGTGAAGATGGATGAGGGTCAACCTCATGAAAGGCGAATTTAACATCCGATTCCATTCATACTTGGTACATCTCAATATTTCCATCAATACAAAATTTGTCATAAAGATGGTAGAGATCGGACAATTCCTTCTGGTACCTCCCCCACAAAGGTTCACAGTTTTGAATAACCAAAGCGATTATAAGATCCGAAATAAGCATCCGGTTCTCTTCATATTTCACACATCCCATTATTTCTACTAACACAAGATCTTCTGTGAAGATGGGATACATCGGTCCACCCTTCCGGTACCTCCCCAACAAAGGGTCAAAATTTTGAATACCCGTGAAGCACATAAATCGTGAAATTAACATCCGATTCAAGATCTGAATGGCAAAAGGCTCAAGGAAAGCGAAACATGCATCCAACTCTCTTCAAATTGCACACATACAAACATTTTTGCTAACACATAATCTGTTGTGAAGATGATATATATCTGCGAACTCCTTCTGTCATCCTACGCACAAAGGGTCACAATTTTCAATGCTTTCATCTTGTGAAACAAGTCAGCTATTCTTTACAACTAAATATTTCTTTTAACCAGAAACCTGAGATAAATATGGAATTTATCAATTCGCCCCAAATGTGGATATAAATGTTCGATTTTTTTTGTAATTTTGGTCATACAAATATTTTTATCTGCATTAAATGAAGTATGAAAATGGAGTACTTCCATCGACTGGTACCTCACGTACATCTAACATTTTCTTAAAATTGTCACATATATCCTACAAAGTGAAGGAAGTAACCAATATAGTCCTAACCTGGCACGTCGCAATATTTACATCACATTTGTTAAGGTCCGATACGAAATGGACAATATTAGCCCATTCCGCCGAAACCCTCTCCATGGAGTGTCAACAATTTGAATAATCATAACAAAGGTCAAAATATATTTAAATAGTCGAATATTGGCTGAGGGTATACATACGTTGGCAAAACCGACTGATACTTTTTAACTTGTTGGTTTTGGTTTTTTATTTCACTTGAAACAATTTTTGTCCATAACTTTCGTTCAAGAATAACTTCTTTCCTCAAAAGTCCTTTAATTTTAAAATTTTCTAAACCAACATACGTAAATAAAAACAGCAAGTAGAATATTGCTTTAACTTTTATTAGTTTGTGTGTGTTAGACCAGATTTATGAGCAACATTCTCCCGCATTTGTCATAAACTTTTATTGGCGCGCTTTGCATTTAACGTGGATAAAATGGAAATTTAACAGAGAATATGGCAACCAATCAAGCGTTTATATGTTGACAGCAGTGGCAAAACACACACACTCACATTCAACTACACTTGGCATATTTATTCATGTTTTTTATTACAACATCTCATTTGGCTAAGGAAATGGTCCCCATGGCACATCCAAATAGGCTAGGCAGCACACACACACACCCAGAATTATGATGCCATACAACAGCATGTTTAACGCATAAATAATTGCACGTAAATATATTTGTGTATGATTTAAAAACTGAAAAATGCTGTATATATTTGCACATGACTTATACATATGTAAAAAATAGTGGTTTCCATACAAATTATAAAAATGGGAATAGTCAAGCTCAATATGAGAGATAAAGCCATTTGTAATATTTTTACTAATCTTCAAGTTGAAGCTCATCAGATGTATACCCCCAGCCTTGAGTTATGATTATTCACACTTTTGAACCTTTGTGTGGGAGGTTCCGAAGCAGTTGGCCTATATTGTCCAATTTGTATCTGACCTTAGTCTGATATAAACATAACAATGTTTATTTTGGATTTTGCAATCGTTTTGGTTTCAAAACTTTGGCTCTACTATCTTTATAACAGTTCCTGTGTTGATGGAAATCTTGAGATTTGTCACGTCTGAATGGAATCGAATGTTAACTTCGCGTTATATGAGCTTTATAGATATTCAAAATGTTGACCCTTTGTGAGTGAGGGAGGTACCAGAAGGACTGAACCGATATATTCTATCTTCACACCGGAGCATGGGTTAATAAAAATATTGTGATGTGTGTAATTTGAAGATAATCTGATTTTTACATTATATTTTATAAGGGTTATGATGTTCACAATTTTAAAAGATTGTGGGGGAGGTAGCGATGTATGTACTACAAATATTATTATTTGAACATTTGGAGCACAATCGAATTATCCTATCGCTTTCTGTGCAGAATTTATACCCTACAACACCATGTGTTGGGGGTATTAGAAGATTGATCGGGCCAAAAATTATGTAACACCTCGAAATATTGGTTTCCCACATAGGAAAGTATATATGGATCTTCTTATCCCCCCGAGCTGAGTCGATCTAGCTATGTATGTCCGTCCGTCCATTTGTCCGCCTGTCCGTGTTAATTTGTAATCAATCTACAGTTCGCAAATTAGAATGGAGGTGGGCATAGGGCCAAAATAGAAGCCTATTGCTTTTGAAGATGATAGCTTAATATTTAGGTATTGAAATGGACCAAAAACTGAAATTTTTCTGATTTTGAAGGGTGAAATATTTGTAATCCCGGCCCCCATATAACCCTAAATAACGATATTCGTAATATTGATAATTATAGAGACGTTTTTTCAACGGAATTTTTTTAAAATTCTCAAGTTCCTTCCATATATTGGAGGGCATTGGAGTTCGGTCCAGACACGGGTTTTTACGTGTTAGCTCTACTTTTATTATGTAATCTGTTTTTTCTTATATGTTTTTGTGTTGCACAGTGTAATTGTGTTGGTATGTATGTTCTCATATGTATATAGAATATTATCAACTAAAGCTGATGTTGAACATTTCACACAAACACACACTCATACATGCATCACATTGTTTTCATGTAGCTGCCCCATTATTGTAATTGGGGATACATTTATTTGTACAAATAAAATAAAAAATAATATTATATAAAAGAATTGGGTCCACGTACAGCCAGAAACGTGTGGCTCTGCAACGTCATGTAAATAATTAAATGAATTTATATGTATGTACATACATGCGAGTAAAATGCATTTAAAGTTTTGTGAAGTCCAGTTTACATTCATATAAGAATATAATGATTTATATAAAGTGAATTTTTCACATTTTTTCAGCACATTTCAACCAAATCAATTGGAAAATATGGCCAAAACCCACAAATAAGCAAACTTTGGGCCAATATTGATAATGGAAAAGCAAGGTAGGTTTTTATAAAATGAGACCTCAAAATAACAAAATTCGGCCAAATAAAATGGAAAATATGAGCAAAACAAAAAAAAAAATGTGTGAAATTGGGGTTTACCCTTTTAATAAAAAATGAGCTGATATGTAAAATATTTTAAACCGTAGATCCTTAAAGTTCTCTATAAACTCTGTAGGATCAATATTAAAGGTTGCAAAAGGTATTTCAAAAAATTGGGTTAACATTTTGCATATATAGGGGTAAATAAAGGCCATAAACTCTTTTGGGGTTCTGACCTACAAACGAATCCAATTGGATTTTTCCACACCCAAAACTGAGTACTTTGGGGAAATTTTCAGCAAATTCGGAAAAAGAGATTTTGAGAAAAAAAAGTTATTTTATATATCAAACCAGTAAGGAAAGGTCGATCGGGGTAGAGTTCCCGTAACAAAAAACTATCAATTGAAAATTTATGAACCAAATAATATGGCTGTATGGTGCATGATATGTCTTCGATAAGGATAATATTAAAATATATTTATTGGATATAGATATACCGGACCGAGTTTCACCAAAAGGTAAAATTTGGTTGAACATCCAATTTGGGCTGATATTACATATATTTTGTTATTGTCGAATGAAGAAGAAGAATCGGAAAAAGATATATAGCGAACCGATCTCAATAAAATTTGGCAGAGGAATTATTGAGCAGTATCTGATGCCCGGCATCAAATATCATTATTGAGGAGTTCATATTACGCATGTGAGGTACTTTTACACCAAATCGGATGAAACATATATATGGGAGATATAGCTTTATCTGAACCGATTTTCACTAAAATTTGAAGTGTTTGCTTTTAGGCTGAATTCCGTCGGAAATGCCAAAATTCACTCCATTTGGGCTGATATTAGTCAAAAAACCTGAAATGGGATGAAGATATAAAAGGGAACTATATTCAAATCTGAACCGATCTTCACCAAATGAAACACTTATTTGTGAGCTGCAGCTGATATCTGGTACCAAATGTCATTCTTGTGGAGTGCATATTACGCCTGTGAGAGACTTAAAACCCCTAATCGGATGAAACCTTTATATGGGAGCTATAGCTATATCTAAATCGATTTTCAACAAAATTTGAAACACTTGCTTCTAGACTGAATTCGGTTGGATGTGCCAAAATTCAGGTTATTCGGACTCATATTTGCCATTTGGTGCAAAATAAACCTGATATCGGTCATACATGGGAGCTATATCCTAATATGGTAGCTATATCCTAATCTAAAATTTGACAGAGGTATTCCTGATCTCCGTATGTTATCTTTTACCAAATATTAGTATTGTGGATGAAACATATATATGGGAGCTATAGCTATATCTAAACCCATTTTCAACAAAATTTGATGCGCTTCCGTCAGAAGTGCCAGAATTCATTTCATTTGGGCTGATATTAGATATTTGATGCACAAAAAAACCTGAAATCGGATTAAGATATATATGGGGATATATCCAAATCTGAACCAATGAAACACTTATTTCTGAGCAACAAGGTTCGTCCTTGGACCAAACAAATATTGTGTGGAAAATTTCATCTAAATCGGATAATAAATACGACCTGCACTTTGATTACAAAAATGCATGGGCGGACGGACGGACTGACTGACATGCATAGATCGACTCAGAAAATGATTCTATGAAGAGTCTGAAAAAAATAACTATGGGTCTACTTCACTTCCTACTCCATGTTACAAACAAATGCACAAAGACATAATACCCGAACCACTGTAGGGTGTAAAAATCTAGGCATTCCCTATTTGTGTATTACAAAATCCGATCTATTTCAGTGCTTGGCTATACTTGTTCAGCCATTACATACATTTAAAACCGAAAAAATAATTTAATTTTCTTAGTTTTTGTTTTAAAAAATTAATTTTTTTTAAATTAAATTAATTTAATTAAAACAATACTTATTACTACACCCTTTTTGGGAGAGGGTTACCATTTTCACACTCACCTGAAATACTGTCAGCGGCATGTGGAACTCGGCACCACCGGTTATTAGAAAACCCCATTTGGAATCATCTTTGACCGCATAGGCATCGGAGTCGACATCAAATGCTGGAAAGCCATCTGTATCGCCAATGCCGCATGACACATGGATGATGGGTTTCTTTTTGGGGGCTTCATGCCCGAACGAATACATTGATAAGAAGTTTGGTTCTGGCATTCTGTTGCTGTTGATATTTTATTTGCTTTGTTTTGCTTATTTATGTTTTGTTTATTTTGATATTAAAATTTAATTCTCTTTTTGCACAGATATCACTTTAAACAACATGAGACACAAATGTGCTTCTCTTTTCTCTTTGTAATTAAGAGAATTCTTTTGTTTTAAGAGAGTACTCGTGCTAAGAGATTTTTGTTTAAAAATACCCTCTGATGTGTGTGCGTTGTTTGCTTTTCAATGAATTGAAAAATTGTATTTCAAAACTATATTAAAAAAAAAAACACACAAATATGAGATTTTTGTTGTATTACTCAAAAATTTATTGAAATTACTCAAAACAATTGTTTACAGCCGGTGAAATGTGGTGTTTTATTTCAATTTATTTGGTTTTTTTTTCAATTAACTTTTCATTGGGAAAATTATTTAGTTACATTTTTATTGAGTATTATTGCATAACCAAAATTTTTTTTCAATTGCACAAAATTTGAAAATTTTGGGATATAATTTTTATTATTATTATTTCATTGATCACTTGTAAGTTTTACTCATTTAATGACGTGTTTTTAACTTCAAACTATTGTTTAGGTAATTATGTATTTTTAATGTTATATTTTTATATTGAAAATTTCCCGTAAAATTGTTCGTCGTCAAAAATGAAAACGATTCCTCAAAAGTTGTGCGCTTGGCTGCAATTTAGCGACTGATTATTTTTAAAGTTTCACATAAGTTTTCTTTTAGATCAATTCATGCTGTTTCTTCCACTTGTTGCGCGTTTTATTCTTTTTGGCACCCTATTGGAAATTAGGCGGTGTATTGAGTTGGTTAAGCGATTGGAAATGGGTAGGGAAATAAAAAGCTGTGAAATGAGAAAATATTGTGTAAAAAGATTTAAAAATGACGGGTAAACAAGCAATAAGTTTGGAACGAATTTGGAAATTAAAAAAAAAACATAAACATAAAATCCGTAAAAAATCTTTTAAAATCGTAAAAATCCGGTGAATAACGTAGCTAAAATCATCAAAATACCGAATATAGGGAGCTACCGATATATGGGACCTATACAATGACCTGGACCTGCATAGACAATTTTATGGTAGACTTTATTTCCGATTACGAACTCTAAATACGAAATTTGAAACAAATCCGGTGAATAATGTCGCTAAAATCATCAAAATACCGAATATGGGAGGTACCGTTATATGGACGTGGATCTGCGTATGCAATTTTTTGACCTAGTCTGTAGTAGCCATTACGAATTATTAATAAGAAATTTGAAACAACTCGGATTAATAAATCGTGAAAATATCGAATATCGGGGGTACCGTTGTATGTAGGCTATACGATATCGTGGACCTATATACGCATTTCTCTTCTGCTTAGAAATAAAATAATCAAAATACCTAATAAAGGGAGGTACCGTTATATGGGGGTTATACGATGTCGTGGACCTATATAGACAATACGCTTCCAGGGGGTAAACTACTCAGAAGGAACTTCTTTTGTGGATTTTCAGATAATTTCATTGAAAAAGTTGGCTACAACAATTAAAATGCTATACGATATCGTGGACCGATGTAGCCCATATACCATTATATTGGAAATTTGTATAAAATCATACCAACCAATAAATGCGTATAGCAACTTTATAATGTTTAAGCCGTGGAATCGGAGGGAATTACTACTCAATCTGTATCGATAACCACTAAATTTGGCGGAGGTATTTTTAAACATCTTATCCGATTTCGTTGCTATAGAGCGCGGATTATGTCTTTGAAAAAATTATATCGGATGAAAAGTATATATATGGAAGCTTAAGTTATATCTAAATCAATTTTGTCCAAATTATGTGATTTTTTTCAGGCCGACATGTCTCTCATTGAGGTCTCTTATAAATAGAGTTCACTTGGACTTTTTTTGAGAAGAACATAATCCCATGAGGTCTTTAGTAGGGAAAATAATCTAGAGGGTTTCTTTTCAGTAGAATGGCAATGGGAGAACTAATCTTAAGGTCTTCTGTGGGAAGTAGGACTGAGAGATCTTCTACATGAAAAAGGTGCTTCAGATCTTCCATATGCAGAGGAGTCTTGAGGCGTTTTCTAGGCAGACTATTGCATTTTTTTGAATATTCTACACCTTATTCACTAGTAATTCGAACTATTTTTGATTTAATTCGTACCATTTAATTTCTAAGAGATTTTGAGATGCGAATTATTTTAGTTGTAATTCGATTATTCTAATTGTAATTCGAATTTTTTCATTTGTATAGCGAATTATTCGAATTACAAATGTAATAATTCGAATTTCAAATTAAATATTTCGAATTGCAATTAGAAAAAATCGAATTACAAATCAAATAATTCGAATTTGCAATTTGGATTTTCGAATTACAACTAAAATAATTCGAATTACAATTGAAATTTTCGAATTAAATTCCAATGATTCGAATTACAAATAGAATTCTCAAATTAAATTTAACAAGTATAGAGAAAAAAAATAACTAAGGTCTTCTAAAATGTGGAACCTTTGACGTCTTCTTTACGTAGAGGATAACTGAAGTAGGATACTTTTTAGATCGTCTCTGAGTAGATTACTTTGGAGGTCTTCCTCAAAAAGAGCAACTTTAAAGTCTCCTTTAAAAAATCTTTTGAAGACCTATCTATAAAAGACCTCAGAGGACCTCGCCTAGAAATGTGCCAAAAAATAAAATAAAAAGTATTTTTACACATGACTTTACCATGATGTGTAAATTATGTCTGAGAAGTCTTGATCATTTCATGAATTCTCGATGTCACCAATTGTTTTAAATGTAAAAAATCCTAAAAGTATGCCATAAAAATATAAAATAATATGTCTATACCTCACACACCGCCAATTTTCTTAAATTCGAATTTCAAAAAATCCTAAAAGTATGCTATAAAAATATAAATTTATATGTCTTTAAATATGACCCTACCATGATGTGTAAACTATCCCTAAGAAAGCTTGAGTGGTTTTTGTCTACCCTTCCATGATCATTACTTGACTTCTCGCTGTAGGGGGCCCCCGCACATCACCAATTGCCTAAAAATCTTAAAAATAGGCTATACAAATATAAAAGGTCTACATATGAATCTCCCATGATGTGTAAATTATCTCTAAGACGTCTTCAGTTGTTTTTCTGTACCCTTTCCATGATAATTTCTTGACTACTCGCTGTAGGGGCCCCTCGCACATCAACAATTGCCAAAAAATTCTTCTGCTTCTTCTTTTATCTAGAAAATTTCCTTTTTCCTCTTCTTTTTGTTTGTTACATTTGTTGTAATAATGGTTTAATTGCTGGTGCTTGCTTCGGTTTTTCATGTTTTTCCCCTTCAGTCGTCAGCGAGTTGCGTGTGTTTGGTTTTTCATCACTCGCCGTGAGTGAACATCAATTGTGCCGTGCTGTGTGCTTTAGCTTTTATTTAGTTTGGCGTTGAGTGGCTGCGGGGTGTTGGGCGTGTGTGTCAAGAGTTGTTATTTTAGGTCAATTCAAGTTATTTTGGGATAGGTCTTAAGTTCTCTTTTTCTGTTGATTATCCAAACAACGTTGTGATGATGGGGGCACATTACGAGCAGAGGGGAGGCGGGGCATGAGCAAAGATAAATGCTTTTAGATAAAGAGCTTAACGGAAATTAGCTGATTGTTTAGGCTGTGACAAGGGGTCTAAAGAATGTTTTTTGATGAAGGGTATACACAATCAGAAATATGGATTTCAAAATATTTTTAAACTTTTCTTTATACTTTTCTCTTGTCTCTGAAAAAGTTCATTGAACTCGGTAATTAATCAAATCGCATGACACTTTTCCAATGACCATCGTAGTTTTGAAACAAATGAATCTGGTGGTGAAGAAGAGAAATTGAAATCATTTTATTTTCTTTCTGTCACCAAACTTAGAATCCGCTCTGAGTAAAATATGACCGGAATGTTTTGTTGCTATAGCCAAGTTTCCGTACCAAATGGCCATAATAGCCACAGATCATGAGCATCCAAATTGAAAATAGCAACAACCACTTCCTCATTGAGTCATTAACCTGCAAAAATAAACACGAAAATAAATACAACGAAGTGGACATGTCCAAAAATATTTGGATAGATGGATGTTGATGAGAGTTTTGGCAATAGTGTGGAAATAAGCAAAAACAAAAAACGAAAACAGTTTTTCGAAACTCTTAACAAATTTGTTTACCAAATTTTAATACAGAGTGAAGAAATTTTGTTTGGAATGAAAAAAAAATTGAAAATGATTCATAAATCTTAAGAGAAAATTATGAGTTTTTAAGAGCTTCAAAACTAGAGGCAATGGATTTTTATGGATTTGTGTGCATAAAAATATGTTTGGCCAGTTTTCTTTCGAAATCGTTGAATTTTCAATTTTAGAATTTTTGAAAAATTAAATTTTTCCGATTGTTTGGCAAAACACCCTATACTTTTTGGGGTTTGGATTTATAAACCGAGTGCTATAATCACATCGAAGTTTCCACAACCCAGGATGACTATTGGACAGCAAAATTGATGCAGCGAATTTGGAAAATATGACAAATTTGTGGAAAATAAAAATATATATTTTTATAAAACAAAATTGATAATATTTTTTACGGCACATAAAAATAGTCTGTTTACCTAACTTCTGTTAGGTAGCAATTGCTTCCCAGACAATCAAGTTTTTATTTCAATTCATTTACTTTTTTCGTCTGGGAGTAAAAGCTCATTTCAACTCTCATATATATTTTCATCCGATTTCAGGTTCATGTATAATGTGTGGCCAATATCAGCTCTAGTGGACTGCATTTTGGTACTTCCGATGGAATTCAGCCCAGAACAAGTACTTCACATTTTGGTAAAAATCGTTCAGATATAGCTATAGCTCCCATATACCGGGTAAGATGAAAAAACCTGTAACCAACTTCAGACTGCTGTCATTTCTAAGCCACTCATCCGACAGCTGTTAAAATTATCCTAGTGACAGCTCATTGTATTCTTCACAAGCGTACAAAATCATTTTGGTGAGAATTTTCCAGAAAAAAAGTTATTCGTAATGGAATTCAAGCGTCATAGTGTGATTTCTTTATATTTGGCTGGAAAAACACAAGTGGCTATCGTTAGAGCACTAGAGCATTTAAATGTGAATAAATCTTTTGTGTCTCGTACTATCGCTCGTTACCGTGATACTGGTAGTGTAGCCCGACGTCAAGGAAGTGGACAGAAGAAAACAGCAACATCAGCATAAATGGTTCGAAAAGTAAAGAAGCGACTTGATCTAAACCCACGTCGCAGTGGCCGAAAACTGGCTCGTGAGCTAAACATATTGCAATATTCCATTCGGCAAATATTGAAAAATGAGCTCGGGGTAAAGCCATTGCAATTCCAAAAAGTGCAAGAACTTAAAAAGAAAAAATAGACTCAAAAGAGCAAAAGAGTTGCTTCGAAAAGTGGTGAACTGCCGAAAACATTCGTTGTCCAGCAATTTGTAAACAAAGAAGTCAGCCGAAAATGTACACCTTCGGTTGGCCACCAGAACTCAAGCACCGGCCTTGGTGATGGTTTGGGCCGCCATAACAACCCATGGTCGCTCTCCGCTCGTATTAATGGACCATGGCATCAGAATAAATGCCGAATATTATCGCGAAAATATTCTGGATCGTGTATTAAAGCCTTGGGCATACAAACATTTTTGCCACAGACCTTGGACATTCTAACAGGACTCAGCACGCGCCACCCAAGAATGGTTACAAAATGAGGTTCCTCGCTTCATTTCCAGCGCACAATGGCCACCAAAATCTGCCGATACCAATCCGTTGGACTATTGTGTCTGGAGTATTTTGGAAAGCACGATTGGCACTAGAAAATACCAGTGTCGATCACCTCGAGCAAGTGCTTCGCCGGGAATGGGCCAAAATACCCCAGAGCAACATTCGGGTACCGTGTGACGGTTTCATTGGCTGTTTGAAGGTCATAATTCGTGTCAAAAGTGACCAATTCGAACAAATCGAAACTTATTCTAAGATTTAATGCTATTTCCGCATTCATTCAAATAATATTAAATCATTTTTCGCGTTTCTTCGGGCAATAAAAGTTTTTTTTTTTTTTTTTTTTTTTTTTGATATATAATAAAAAATTTTATTTTTTTTCTGCTGTGGTTTATAGTGAAACTTAATGACTAATATTTTTGACTTCGATGCCATTCTTCTAAGATGATTTTTTGTATGAGAATTTTACATAAAATCACATGAATTATGACTTTAAATTCTCTCATTCCTGGCCTTTAGGAAAGCTTTGGAGTTTTGATGAATTCGTATAATAATTGTATAATATTCTTATACAATATTTATACAACACAAATACTATATTTATGCTATAATTATATTATTACATATAAAAATACCAGCATGATGTGTAAATTAGCCCTTCTCTCTTGTTTTAAAGTCTTCCCTTTTGATTGCAAGGCCCCGCCTTTGGCAAATAGTTTAAATTTTCCTCTGCATATCTGAGCCATAACAACTATTTATTTCAAGTTTTTGCCAAGTTCCCGCACAGCATTCAAAGTTTACCCAATCTAAAAAGTTAACACCGGCTAGACAATCTTATGTGGTATTTCATCATAAATTTAGAAATTATATAAATAAATAACAATTATAATTTTATTCATAGCAATTTGTTGAAGATTAGCATTTATTTATAAAGAAAATGGAATAATAAATATTTTGAAACTGCCACACTCGATGTCGATGTTGATGTCGACGATGCCGATGATTGCCAGTGACCCATTATCAATCATTACATTGACTACCAACAACCATTTCTTATCAGGAATTAATTAAATTAAGTCGTAAATTAATTGTCTTTACCAGAACAATGTCTATTTTTTTTAGGTTTGAACAATGCAAAGATGATGGGCGAATACCCTACAAACGTATTGTAGGGCATTTTCCAAGTAAAAAATATCCTTGTGATATATGACCTTCAATTGATGTTATACTATTGGGATCTAAATTTTATATTCGATATTTGGGTAACAAAGCGTACAAAGAATACCGGCTAAATGTTTTCAAAATTTCCATGATTATATGAAAAACTCAGTAGATTATGAAAGTAAAGCCAAAAATAGAAGAAATATCACCCCTTTTTCATTTTTTTGTTTAATTTTTGGATAAATATTCCCTGAAATCCGCTCATTTGTGGTATATAGTGTCAGAAGAAGTATTACTAATAATAACAATACAAGGAAATGTTAACCCTCAAGCGACTCTCCAAATTGGGTTTTCTGGTCCTTTTTTTCAAAAAATGGTTAAAAACGGCCTTTAAAGGGGATGGTATCAGTTCAAAATACGCTACGAAATTGGTCGCCAACAAATTTCACAATAGATCGCTAATTACGTCAAAACTCCAAATCTTACTTAAAACCTCGAAGTTTATATACAGGGTGAGATAAAAACAAGTAAGCAAAGGCTATAGTCGTGCGAGGCCGACCATGTGATACCCTACAACACTACAATATGGTAAAAGCCTCCTCATGTCCAAATCCATTTTGGAAGATTTCGCTTTTGAAAATATGTCACGAAGCACTGCCCAGATATTACCCTTAGCATTTTGACCAGAGACTTTTACCCAATATTTACGCACTTCGTCGTGCTGTTAGTTATTGTGGTCCTTTTTATCGCCAAATATAATCCAATGGTCATCCTAAATGCTAGAATTCTTCCCTGTCCTTAACTCTCTTCCTAGGCATGTGCATTGGCTTCAATTGTGTGATCAAGAAATGTCTTCTGTTTTTGGTTCATTTGAACCCCTAAATACATATTTTGCGATCATCTCCAAAAGCAAGAAGTATCTCCAAATTTAGTCTCATTTATATGATTTGCTTGTCTGCGATATTTGGCTATATTCGTTGACGAAATCAGCATAAAAAGGCCAGAGGTTCGTCTTTTGTGTATTTTGCATTCCTCCTGTAATTTATTTTCAGCGTTTCGATAGAATGGAAATTTTGGTTTTTTTCCAAATAAAGTAGTGGTACATTCTTCCCGCTCTAACTTCATGAGAGATTTCGTGTCCTTTGGTTTCTACTTGTGACCTTTATTACGACTGTAAAATCAGGAATATTTTTAGTTGTTGGTCCATTTCAACCCCTAAAAATATATTGCGGACAACTTTAAAAACAATAGGCCTAGGCCTTCTGAGCCTAACCCTACCCTTATGAAAATTTTTGGTGAGGATCGAACGATAATTGCAATCTACATATAATAACCCCAACCTGTCGTGTAAGTTGGAAAATTTTCAGTTTTTGGTCCATTCAGCCCCTAAATATTATGCGATAATCTCGATAAGCAATAGGCTTCTATTCTATCTCATAACTCCACTCCATGCTACATTTCGTGAGAATCGGGCCATAATTGCGACCTGTAGATTTACTACAAATTAACATGGACAGACGGACGGACATACATAGTTAAATCGACACAATTCGGCTAGATAGGAAGATCCATATAAACTTTCCTATGTGGGAAGTCAATATTTTGAGCTGATAAATAATTGTTGGCCCAATGAAACTTATAACACCCCCAGCACATAGTGTTGTAGGGTATAAAAACAGGCCCCTCCTGCCTTGGTCCATCTATTTTGGCTACTTTGCTTTGAAAACTATCAAAACTTCGATTGAAGTGTCTTCCAGTTTTAGTTCTACTTTCATAACATTCTAGATTTTTTGTCTCTATTTATAGAAATGAATTTTTTTGTCGCACTGTGTAATTAAATATACAGATATGTGGACCGATATATATAGATGAAAGGAGGTTAAAGGATTCCAAAAATAGATTTTCATGGGGAAATTCTACTTGTGGCATTCGTGGAAAACCCCAAACGATCTTCTGTCCGCAGATTTAATGGTTTGCTACATGCCGAATGCACAAAAAATTAACGCTGAAATTTTGCAATAACAATGTGCAAAAAAACATTAATTCCGCAGCGTCTTAATATTTTCCACAGTCTTCCCACAGACAGGCAGTTCTGATAAGAAAAGCGTTAACGTATCAATACAAATTACGGAGAATTTGTGTTATGAGGACAGTATGAAAACGAATTGAGAACGAATAACAACGCGGTGGCAATAAAATTCGCAATTACAAAAAAAAAAAAAAAAAAAAAACAGACAATGAAAATCCTTTTGGTGTGCACAGTTGTGTGTGCCCTGGTGGCGGTGTCCTTGGCAGGACCGGTTAAGAAACTAAAAATCGAAAACAATATATCGGATAGCTCGAGTGAAGAGAGTATTGAAAATGTGGTCACAAAGAATTTGAATACCATCAACAAGGAAGACAACTCCTCCAGTGAGTCCGAAGAGGATAAAGAAAAATCGGCCCAGGATTCCGATTCCAGTGAAGAAGCGGTTGAACAAAAACCCGATACCAAAACCCTGTATGTTGTCCGGGATAATGGGGAAGATGGATCACAAGAGAATGATGTCCTTGGAAAGAAGCAGTACACAGTAGTTGTTGTGGATGACGACAACGAGGAGCAGAATAGTTTAGATAATGGGCGCTATCGACGTGCCATTCATCCCGAATTGCCGAATAACAACCACATTCATGTCAAGGATTTGGCTACCATGGAGAGTGAGAAAATGTTCAAGCTGAAACGAGCCCGTCGTGACAGTGACACATCATCAGAAGAAAGCTTCGCCGAGGACACACCAAACCTGGAGGATTCACTGGAACAATTTGTTCCATCGGGAAATCAGAAAATGGTAGCAAGGTATGCAAGACATACCGACAATTCATCCGAGGAGGACTCGTCCGAAGAGAAACAAGCCGCTGCTGAAAAAAACAGTGAACATGCAGCCGAGAAAGCCAAACACGATGAGGCCGTAAGGCGTCGAAGAAATGCCGATAAGTCTTCGGAGGAGGATTCCTCGGAAGAAAAGAAAGCGGCAGCTGATAAGCCAAGTGAGGCTGCAGCTGAGGAGGTGAAACACGAGGAGGCTGCTAGACGTCGCAGGAATGCTGATAAGTCCTCGGAGGAAGATTCTTCGGAAGAGAAGAAAGCGGCCGATGAAAAACCCAGTGAGTCTGCAACTGAGGAGGCCAAACATGAAGAGGCTGCTAGACGTCGCAGGAATGCTGATAAGTCCTCGGAGGAGGATTCCTCGGAAGAAAAGAAAGCGGCAGCTGAGAAGCCCAGTGAGGATCCAGCTGAGGAAGCCAAACACGAAGAGGCTGCTAGACGTCGCAGGAATGCTGATAAGTCCTCGGAGGAAGATTCTTCCGAAGAAAAACAGGCAGCAGCTGAAAAACCTAATGAGTCCCCCGCAGAGGAAGCGAAACACGAAGAGGCAGCTAGACGTCGAAGAAATGCTGATAAATCTTCGGAAGAATCTTCCGAAGAAAATGAAGTAGCAGCCAAAAAACCCAGTGAGGCTCCCGCTGAGGAAGTCAAACACGAAGAGGCTGCGAGACGTCGGAGAAACACTGACAAATCCTCTGAGGAGGATTCCTCGGAAGAAAAACATGCAGCTTCGAACAAACATAGTGATGGCGCAACAGATGTCGTGGTGGCATTAAAACCTGAAAAGGCCGAAGAGGCATCTCCCAGCGAACAAGAATCTGCCCGAAGACGCCGCCGTAACGCAAATTCTTCAGAAGAAGATTCTTCCGAAGAACAAAGCAAGACCGCTGGAGATCCAGCAACAAATTCCGCTGCCAGACGTCGACGCAATACCTTTGCCGGTGACCTATATGTCAGTGAGGAGTTACCAAAAATCCGCAACATTGTCAGCGATTTGGATTACAACGAAGTAATTGTGTCGCTGAGTGCCGAAGAGAAACAAAAGGAAAGTGAAAGATATTTACTATTCGACAGGGAAGAAGATAACGACAAATCCGATGAAGAAGAGAAAATCGTAATAGATTCACCGGAGAATACCAAAAACGAAAAGAACAGCTCCGAGGAGGATTATGTTAAGGGTTGTGAGGGCAATGATACCTCCGATGAGTCGAATGAATTAAATGAAACCACTTACGATTAGAGAAGCTAAGTAAGGAAGCAGAAGTCAAGAATCTGCATGTAGTTATATAAAACATAAAATAATAATAAAAAACAAAAACATAAAATAAATTAAAAACGTAGTTAATTATTCACAAATTATCTTGCTTTGATGTTCATTTTGTTGTAGTTGTTGTCTTTACTCATTCCATTATCTATGATTCTAGACCCCTGCCCTTATCAGGGATTGGGGGGTCGTCACGCAGTAAAGGTAAGATCAGTTCTATAATCTTAGCTGTCAATCGAATGCATTCAACGTTTGATCACAAACAACAACATTACAAACAAAATACCACCTTTGATTTGGGAGCGAACAACTGATAAGGAGACAAAAGCAAACGATAGAATATTCCGAGAACCAGACGAACAAAAAAAAAAAAATGAAGAAAATAAAAAGTAGAAAAAACAAGAGATTTTCAAAACAAAAAAAAAATTGTAAGACTCAGGCGTCGGGAGGCTAACGAAAAATTGTCTATAAAATTTTGTAGATCCCGGGAGGCTAACGAAAAATTTTCTATAAAATTTTGTAGATCCCTGGAGGCTAACGAAATATTTTCTATAAAATTTTGTGGGCCTCAGGAGGCCAACGAAAATTTTTCTGTGAAAATTTTGTAGGCCCCGGGAGGCCAACGAAAAATTGTCTATAAAATTTTGTAGATTCCGGAGGCTAACGAAAAATTGTCAACAAAATTTTGTAGATCCCGGGAGGCCAATGGAAAATTTTCTATGAAAATTATTTGGGCCTCGGTAGGCAACCAAACATTTTCTATGACAATTTTTTAGGCCTCGGGAGGCCAACTAAAATTTCCTATGAAAATGTTGTGGGCCTCGGGAGGCCAACGACAAATTGTCTATAAAATTCATTTATTAAAATAATAGATATACCGGATCGAGTTTCACCAAATGGTAAAATTCGGTTGAATATGAAAAAATCTATTCAAGTAGGGCTGATATTACATATTAGGGGGGGGGGGAGTAAAATCCGTAACTTCGGATGAAGATGTATACCGAAGCTACATAAAAATCTGAGCCAATCTCGATAAAATTTGGCAGAGGTATTTTCGAGTAGTATCTGATGCTCGGTATCAAATATCATTGTTGTGGAGTGCATATTACGCATGTGAGGGACTTTAACATCAAATCGGATGAAACACATATATATGGGAGCTAGAGCTACATTTGAACCGATTTTAACCAAAATTTATATATATATATATATATATATATATATATATATATATATATATATATATATATATATTTATATATATATATATATATATATATATATATATATATATATATATATATATATATATATATATATATATATATATATATATATATGGGAGCTATAGCTATATCTGGACCGATTTTCATCAAATTTGATGTACTTTCTTCTAGACTGAATTCGGTCAGATGTTCCAAAATTCAGATCATTTGGACTGATGTTGGCCACTTGGTGCACAAGTAATCCGAAATCGCTTGAGGATATATATGGATGCTATATCCAAATCTGAACCGATCTTCAAAAAAATTGGCAGAGGTATTTCTGGGCAGTATATAATATCTGATACCAAATATCATTGCTATCTTAAACACCAAATGGGATGAAACATATGTATGGGAGCTATAGCCTATATCTGAACCAATTTGACGTACGTGCATCTAGAGTGAATTCGGTCGGATGTGCCAAAATTCAGGTCTTTTCGACTGATATTGGCCATTTGGTGCATTAACCCGAAATCGGTTAAATATATGGGAGCTATATCGAAATCTGATCCGATTATCACCAATTTCAATAGGGTTCGCCCTTGGGCCAAACAAGTATTGTATGGAAAATTTCATCTCAATCGGATAATAAATGCGAGCTGCATTTTGTTCACAAGAATACATGAACGGACAGACGAAATGTCATGCATAAGTAGACTAAGAAAGTGATTCTATGAAGATCCTCAAAAGTAACTATGGGTCTATCTAACCAGTATGTGGTGTACGGTATAAAAACAATCAACTTTGTAGACCTCCAGTTGGCCAACGAAAAATTTCTATGAAAAATTGTAGACCTAGGGAGGCCTATGAAAAAATTTCTATGCTAATTTGTAGGCCTCGGGAGGCCAACGAAATATTGTCTATAAAAATTTGTGGGCCTCGGGAGGCCAACGAAAAATTTGCTATGCTAATTTGTGGGCCTCGGGTTGGCCAACGTACATTTTTCTATGGCAATTTTGTGGGTCTCTTGTCGGCCAACAAAAAAATTTCTATGAAAATTCGTGGGCCTCTGGAGGTCGGCGAAAAATTTTCTATGGACATTTTGTAGGCCTCCGGTGGGCCAACTAGAAATTTTCTATGAAACTTTTGAGGTCCTTGGGAGGCCAACGGAATATATTCTATGACAAAATAGTGGGCCTAGGGAGGACAATTTTCTATAAAAATTTGTAGGCCTGGGGAGGCCAACGAAACATTTCCTATGAAAATTGGTAGGCCTAGGGAAGCAAACAAAACATTTTCTATGAGAATTTGTGGGCCTCTGGAGGCCAACGAAAAATTTTCTATGAAAATTGTTGAGGCCTCAGAGACCAAAGAGAAATTTTTCTATGAAAATTTTGTAGGCCTCCGGTCGGCCAAGGAGAGATTTTCTATGAAAATTTAGTAGGCTTTCGGTCGGCCAAGGAGAAATTTTCTATGAAAATTTAGTAGGCCTTCGGTCGACCAAGGAGAAATTTTCTATGAAAATTTCGTAGGCCAAAGAGATAATTTCTACGAAATTTTTTTAGGCCTCCGGTCGGCTAACGAGAAATTTTCTATGAAAATTTAGTAGACCTCCGGTTGGCCAACGAGAAATTTTCTATGAAAATTTAGTAGGCCTCCGGTCGGCCAATGAGAAATTTTCTATGAAAATTTAGTAGGCCTTCGGTCGGCCAACGAGAAATTTTCTATGAAAATTTTGTAGGCCAAGGAGAAATTTTTCTATGAACATTTTGTAGGCCTCCGGTTGGCCAACGAGAAATTTTCTATGAAAATTTAGTAGGCCTCCGGTCGGCCAAGCTGAAATTTTCTATGAAAATTTAGTAGGCCTTCGGTCGGCCAAGGAGAAATTTTCTATGAAAATTTTGTAGGCCAAAGAGAAAATTTTTACGAAAATTTGGTAGGCCTCCGGTCGGCCAAGGAGAAATTTTCTATGAAAATTTAGTAGGCCTCCGGCCGGCCAACGAAAAATTTTCTATGAAAATTTAGTAGGCCTCCGGTCGGGCAACGAGATTTTTTTATGAAAATTTGTGGGCCACTGGAGACCAGCGAAAATTTTTCTATGAAAATTTTGGAGGTCTCCAATTGGCCAACGAAACATTTTCTATGAAAATTTTGGAGGCCTCCGATTGGCCAACGAAACATTTTCTATGAAAATTTTGTAGGCCTCCGGTCGGAAAAACGAGAAATTTTCTATGACAAAAAAGTGGGCCTAGGAAGGCCAAGAAAAATTTTCTATGAAACATTTTCTATAAAAATTTGTAGGCCTGGAGAGGCCAACAAAAATTGGTAGGCTTAGGAAAGCCAACGAAAATTTGTGGGCCTCTGGAGGCCAGCGAACAATTTTCTATGAAAATTTTGTAGGCCTCGGGAGGCCATCGAAAAAGTTTTTATAAAAATTTTGTAGGCCTTGGCAATCGAAAAACGATCTTATAGTCCTTTTTTGAACCTCCTTATCGTAATCATATCCAAACTTTTTTTTTTTATTCCATAACATTATCACAGCTTAAATCGTACAATTTATTTTAAATAATTTACACAAGACGAGTAAGAAAACGAAACTAAATTCCAAAATTTTTAGTCATTTATTTTTCACCATAGATTTCCCGGATCAAGGCCTCCAACAAGAGATGATAATTGCGTTTCTTCTCCAAATCTTTCAGCTCCAGCAGTTTCTCTCTCGCCTTGTCTAGTTGCGATAACATTTCAGCTATTTCCGTTTGAATTTGTTTGCTTTCGTGACCATTGTATTCTCTGTGAGGGTTGCCATGTGCCGCCAATAGTTGATAATATAATTTCATATTGGTTTTTTGCAACGATTCCAGGGCTACGTCGATTTCATTTTGGGCAAATTCCAAATCCAACATATTGTCAAAATACTCGTTGGTCAGAACTGTGCTCTGGGAGCCGGATGAAGAGACTTCCTTGAGGAGATCGAGTTTTGGTTGTTGTTGGGGTGGGGTTATTTCGGTGGTTTTACTCAATTCCAGTAACTCATCCTGGGTATTTGGGGTGTTCTCGTCGTTCTCGTCGTTGAATACTTCATCATGATCTTCTTCGTTGTCATCAACCTCTTCAAATTGGAATTTCTCCGTTTCTTGAGAGAAATTTTCCTGGTTACCCAAAATTCGGAATAAAATATAATTTTCGGGATTGAAACCAAAGTGAGCCCTAAAAATTACCCGGCCATTCGAAGTTTCTTGGCTACTCTCCTTGGGTTGTTCAACGCCCTCTGTGGCAAGGGGATCTTGCGTTAGTTGTTCTTTAATTTCTGGGTTCATGGGCTCTACGCTTTCCCCGGAGACCATTTCCTGTTTTGTTGCTACATTGTCTGCATCTTGATCCACGGTGTAATAATGACTCTTAACAAAGTCTTTTTCAGACAACTTATCTTCGTCATCCCCATTTAAGCCAACAAATTTCACCACATCCCGATTATTTTCGTTTTCCTCCTCAGAACTCGAATCATCAAATGTATAAGGAACAAAGGGTGTCATTTCCTCCAACAACTTATCCCAATTGCTTAGGGTATCCTCTTCGGATTTCACACTATCATCTTTACTGCCACTACCAGTCTCCTTAACTTCATCCTCTTCCTCCGAAGTTGATCCAGCAATCACATTAGGATCAATGGTGAGCATATTCCTCTCCTCTTCACTTTTCCTGCCCGCATCTTCCACTGCTTCCTCCTCAACGCTTTCATCTGTGGCAAGAATTTCCCGCAACAGCTCATCCCAACTATTCAGGTCATCATCGTATTGGATATTAGGATCAATGGTGAGCATATTCCTCTTCTCTTCACTTTTCCTGCCCGCATCTTCCACTGCCTCCTCCTCAACGCTTTCATCTGT